CTGTTGAGAAAGGCTGGTCTGTTAAGAGAGGCTGATCTGTTGAGAGGCTGGTCTGTTGAGAGAGGCTGATATGTTGAGAGAGGTTGGTCTGTTGAGAGAGGCTGATATGTTGAGAGGCTGGTCTGTTGAGAGAGGCTGGTCTGTTATGTGGTAAGACTTTTTCTGTTGTGAGAGGCAGGTATGCTGAAAGAGGCTGGTATGTTGAGAGAGGCTGGTATGTTAAGAGAGGCTGGTGTGTTGAGATATGCTTGTCTGTTGAAAAATTAATCATAAAAGCATTTACTAAAGACAACTAACCATGTCGTTGAACATGTACGCCAAACATTTTGTAACCTACCATATAAACATTTCTTAACACGTATCTAAACCCTCAATCTAAAGCTAGTAGTGAATTAACAATTATTAAATTTATTGCACATTCTTGTGGAAAAATAATTCGAATTATATTGTTTTGATTTATATTTAGATTCTTGAATGAAGATCTAGTTTCAAAGCATTGTGTTAGCCTAAAAAATAGTAAACAAATCAGTTTGGTTATTGACAATCTGGAAATAGGCTATATTAAACAAATACTATTTATTTATTATTCTTTAAAATGATAACATGTAATAGAATAGTTGAACATAATTAATCAAATATCCTTACCTATATGTACTGTGACTGCTGTGCTGTAAAATTGTGTGAGGCGGCATACGACTGCGTTCCCGATCAAAAGTGTACTGACAAATACAGCGATATTCGTTTTGCGCCGAGATTTTTAGCGCTAGAAATAATAGGCGGTTTGTTCAAATGATTATACCTCAATAATCATTCTACAGATTTCTCTAATATTTTCAGGCATTATGGGGAATCATATTGGCTTTTGATTTATGTAAAAAAAAGAAAATCGAATTTTTTTGAGTTAGACGGTTTGCGACCGAGACCATCGATATATATATATATATATATATATATATTGTTTAAAATAGTAAACTTAAAAAAAAATTTAATGTAAACCTAACTACAAGTAAAAATTAGTTATAAACTAAAGATAATTCCTATTTTCAAAACAAAATACACCGCCTTTAAAAATTTATAGTTATACAATTATGTAGTAAGTTATTAAACAACAATGTTCTGATGTAGAAACATTGACTGTGTCTTTTAATGAATTAGAAATAAAACTTTATTGAAACACTAACATGAGCCATTTTACATTCTATCTGGTGGTGATATAGAGTTGCCTGGTTCCGAGATTTGTAATGGTCACACCCAAATGGACACCAATGAGCAGGATCTCAGCCTAAGACATGAAGAAAGCCACGGTACCAAAGGCCAGGACAACTGAGGTCAACTCCAGCAGAAGATCTGTAAAAACATGTTGATATTTCTACATAAACATGTCAGTGTTACAAACTACAAACTACACTTTGAACAATCTCGGTGGTGACAAGATCTATGTTTGTTCTATACGTTGGCTTGCGGGGTTTATTAATGTAGAGACTCTAAAGAGTCTTAAGGCTGGTAGGGTTTATTAATGTTGAAGCTATTACTATTAGCAGTCTTTCTGGCGGTATGGTGTATTAATGTAGAAGCTATTACGATCTTTAGGCTTGTACGGTTTATTAATATAACAGCCACTAGCACTCTTTTGTGTGTATTAATACAGAATGTACTAACAGTCTTTAGGCTGGTAGGGATCATTAATGTAGAAGCAACTTGCAGTCTATAGGCCTGTTGTGTTATGCGTGAACAGTTTAGATACCAACAACAAAGATAACTTACCCGCCGCCCAGGACTTGGATCTGTTCGTAGATCTTTGAGACATAACAATATGGCCACGATCTGTATTAAGACAATATTTTACTCCCACGTTATGTCTGGGGTGTTGTGATGGGTTTTTTTGGAGGGACATTTTTTAACTTGGGCGTTTTGGTTTTTAGAGCATCAGTTTGTATCCAGGATACGCTAACAAGGTCAAAGAACCAGAGGCGTAGCGACCTAATACGGCGCCCGGGGCGGACTATCAATTTTGCACCCCCACCCTATATCTATATATGGTTATTCCTGTCTGTGAAAAAGCGCCCCCCCCCCCCCAGTTAATAAAGGTTTGTGGCGATTCTTACCAGTTACAATCCTGAAACAATTTCTATTTCGGTGTCACAAAGTTGCTAAATTAGTGTGTGAAGCCTTGTAGTCGTTTATTTTTCGTAGCTTTGACAGTGTATAATTCGATACTTCAGCTTAAAATGAGCTTTCAAATTAATTTCTCTACCCCTTTTGGCGCCCCCTTAAGTTCGGCGCCTGGGGCTTCCGCCCCACCCGCCCTCCCCTAGCTACGCCTTTGCATATATATATATATATATATATATATATATATATATATATATATATATATATATATATATATATATATATATATATATATATAATATATATATATAAAGCTCATTTCTGTATGTAAAAATAAATATGTATGTCGTTGACATACTTCCATGGATTAAAGTGTTAGATAATTAAAGTCCTTATGGTCTAAATTTATGAGTTAAAAAATTAATATTGCAAGTTTTGGGAAATAATTTTAATTTATCAAACTGAAAGTAATAATTTTCGGCATGTTCATTAAACACAAATTTAAAGTCCTATAGCAATTACTTCCCTTTGATAAATTAGGAAAACACAATTACTTCCCTTTATAAAACCATTACATTAGTGGAAAAGAATTTACTTTATATTACTTTGTTTTGGTGTTGCGAAAAAAAATAATTACATATTGGCGGGGATTGATCAAGTGCAAAATTTTGTAGTTATTTTACGGATAAGCTTGGAGTATTATAATTGTTCATTAAATTGAAACAGGTGCGTTCGTTTATGTGAGTGCAAAAGACTATGAATAAGTTGGGGTACTATAGTCGTTTATTAAGCTAAAACAGGCGATTCCGCCCCGGGCGAGACTGTGAGCACTTTGCGTTTATGTTCGCGTTAGTGTTTTCATTGTGTTTAGGTTGGGTTTGCGTTAGTGGTTGCGGTTTGATTTGGTTCGTTTTTGTTCTTTCTTTTTTCGTTTTTGATTGTGTTTTTTTCTTTGGGTTTGTATTTGTGTTTTTGGTTGGTTTTGCGTATGGATTTGGTTTGTTTTCGTTTGCTTTTTCGTTTTTTTTTTGTGTTGTTATTGGTTGGTATTGGTGTTTGTGGTTGTGGTTGGGTTTGTTGTTAGGTTTTTGTTTTCGTTTGTATTTGTAATTGTGTTAGCGTTATGTTTGCATTTTGTTGTTTTGGTTTTAGTTGGTTGCGGTTTGGGTGGGCAATGCCGGATTTATGATGATTACTAAACACACAGGTGATGGTCTTTAACAGAAAGGTTTTTCACAGAAGCCAGAGCAGGGCCTGGCCGGGACGGCTAGTATATATATATATATATATATATATATATATATATATATATATATATATATATATATATATATATATATATATATATATATATATATATATATATATATATATATATATCTACATGTGTGTCTGTCTGTCTTTTATGCATTATTACAACTTTCACCCGATCGCCAAGAAAGTTTGAGAAGTTGTTGAGAATTTGTTTTTGCGGCTTTTGCGGGAAAAAAAATCATGTTAGCATGAGTGGCGGCGCGTCATTTGACATCCCTGAGCAAACCCATCCCGATGGGTGCATAACTTAAGTTAGGTACATCAAAGGTGAGCTTATCACATTATATCCCATATGCCAACGTTACAGAAATAGATAAACTGTAATGTATTTACCCAAATGTAAAAACTCAAATGTAAAATCATTACGTTAGGTAGTTAGTACCCAGAGGCGTAGCTAGGGGGGGGGGACATATTATCTATTGAATACCTTAACTTAAATGGCATAAGCTACCTAAGCTTTACTTTATAATTATTATAATCTAAATAGTAATGCATTATTTCATATTTAAAAAACATTTATTTCCTACTTTTTATTGTATAGTTAAATAAATGTTTGTTATAAATTTTGTATATAATGTATTTAGCAAACTTACCAAAAATATCCTTGAGATAAATAGTGTTATGCGTCTGAAGTGGAAAATATCTTGGTTTCGTTCTATCGCCTCCAACCCAAACAGCACGGATTATCATATTAGGACTTTTAAAATAAAAGGGGTCTATCAAAGCAAACCAGCGCATCGGTTCAGTGTCATCACAGTAGCAATTGGAATTGACATATTTTCGTTCTCTTTGATCACTTAATTTGCAGCCGTCTGGTTTGAAGAAATCCTTTCCAAACCAGCAATACTTGAGAAAAGATAATACAAGAAAAATTTTAGTGCTTTAATGAAGCGCAATTATTTTATTTTAAAAGCTAGAGTCGACATCTAAAACATATTTATACTTTAACAACCATGGCATCATATTTAATTTTAAAATTAAAATAAAAGGAGTTTGAAAGGAGAGTGTGGTAACGCGCCCGAGTAAAACAACGGCTTATTCCTTCCCCCCCCCCCACCCCCACCCCTCGGAGAAGGTCTACCCCTCCCTCCGAACTAAATGGAATTTATATAGAAAATATATACTTTTAACAGTGAAAACAACTTTCAGTAAATGCTGTAAAGGGGAAAGGTGGCAACTCCAGCTCCAATCCATTGCTAAATCCGGATTAATGTATAGATCCCATATTAATCTTTTAGAAAAACCAACGAATGGCAACGAAAAGTTATAATCACTAAGTGCAGCAAGGTTTCTTGCACAAACTAAAAAACAAGTATTTAGCTCAAAAATAACTTGTTCTTAGATACATATCGTCAACTTGTCACCAAATATCATAGTGTGTAGAAACTTCATCCGAGGTTTATGCTCCTAAAATCATTTAAATTTTATTTTCTGGAACATTTCCAAAGATACTCTATCTGCGGTACTTAATATGTAAAACGTTATTTTTTAAAAACTATATTATTTTTTTCATAATTATAGAAAATGTACTAATTACCCCAGCCCATTTTTTCCAATTGGCTAAGTCTTCGCAGCCGGAATTGCAAAATGAGACTTCAAAGGTTGGTTGAGGTCGTTTGTGCGTTATTATGTGCCATTTGTCCTTTGGTAGATGAAACTTGCCATAGACTATCAGTGGATCCCTCCCAAACACCACACACCATGGACACCGGGGCAGGTAGCCATCTATTGTAGCGTTGATTCCATTTGCTCTTTGAAATTCAAGAGAGTTCTGATCGGTTTCGCTTTCTAAAGACGGACATTGGAAAAAAAATGACACGCAAGTTAAACAGAGAAAAAGTAGTTGTAAATGATGTATGGAGTTAAACTGGACATGTCATATGCTAAAATATATATGAGGATAAAGTTAAACATGTCAAATGCTAACATATGTATTGGATAAAGTTAAACGTGTTATATGTTAACAGATGTGTGGGGTTCAGTTAAACGTGTCTTATGCGTCCAGACGAATGGAAATTAAGTCGAACATGTCGTATACTAACAGTGCGTTTAAAAGCTTATTATTTTAAATGTTTTTATATTTGTTTTACTCTCTTTAGCACAAATGTGTCGAGTTATATACAAACCCACATTGGGAATAAATATTTAACTAAAAATCTTTCGCAATGTTAATACAATTATTCATAGCTTTAAATTAGACTCTGTATAGCATAGTGCTACATCAATGGAAAAAAATCAAACTTTTTATTGCAAGTTTTCATATTTCCTTTGAGTATGAATATATATATACATTACATTTTTTATCATATAAGTATCATTTTATCAAAATCATAACAGAAAATATATTATAGATACATTAATTTACCAGTAACGATAAAAAACACACTCAAGATTAAAGTAGCGAAAAGCATTTTTCAAACTCCGACAAGTGACTTGTTCTATGGCTGGGTTGGGAAAACAATGCTGAAAATTTAAAATAATTTCGTTATCAGTTGTTTGCGTTTGGTCGTCCATAGAAAACATTGATCTCGCCTCCAGCAGAACAATCAGACTTTTTATTTTGGTTTTACTTCCAACAGAAGACATTCATAATTAGCTACATAGCTGTTCTATTTTTAACCTCTCTCAAGCAATCGCCATTACCAGTGACTCCACTACTTAAACAGATTAATTCCTCCTCAGTGGCGTAGCTACTGTAAAGCTAGCGTAAGCCAGGCATAGGAGCCTAAGGCACGTAGGAGCCTTTTTTTACTCTTAAAAAAAAAAAACTTTTACATTGGAATTTTAATATTTGTTTGATATAAGTCCAACATGTGTCAATGTTTCTCTACTTATTTTTGACATTTCATTTGTTGATCTCATTAAGCTTTAATCAACATGACGCTACTAACACTATTAATTAGTTTTCGGGTTTCATCTAATCGCCAAGAAACTTTAGGAATTCGTTGAGAATACTCCAGGCAGTGTTTTTATTTCCAGACATTTTTTTCTGAAAGAAACTCAGACTTTTGATAAGGTTTCTGCCATTAAATTTTTATTTTATTTCGGAGGGCGCGCCCCGCAGAAAGGCGGTGACATTTGCAGAGGCGTAGCGAGGGGGGGGTCCGGGGGTGCGGACCGCACCGCGTGACACCATTTAGGGGGGGTGACACCAAGGCACAAAATAGCAAAATATATAGAGATAAATGATAATCCCACTTAATTAAGTGATTAATTCGAGTGTTAAATAGTGTTTTAAGAGGTGCAAATCGAAAGTTTAATGGGGGGGGGGGGGGAGATGCAAATCGAAAATTGAAAGTTTGTCCCCGTGAAGGGTCGCTACGCCTCTGGGGGGTTACGCCATTAAGTGCCGCACCGGGTAAAATCCGACCTCGCTACGCCACTGGCCATTAGCCACCCAGACTTTCACAGCGGCTAACTTTGCACCTGCGGTTCGTTGATTGGGTGTCCGTGGCAGCGTTCCTATTTTTTTCAGCATCAGCCGGTGTCCTCGGTTTCTCCCATGAACACTACGGCGCATATAATCGTTTTAATGAGTGACCTACACTAGTGACACGGAATGAAAAAAAAATCGATTACTAAATCTAATAAGGGTTGACCTTCGGCGCTTCAGCAGTAGTAGCGGTTGGGCGTCCAGAGTTACCCAGAGGCTACCTGAGTGCAAAGAATCCGTTGATTGCGCGTCCTGCAGAGGCAGGGGTACTAATTGATTCAATGATCAAACTGCACTAAGGGCGGCTTTCGACGCCTCCGGCGTACGGATGACACTAATCACACGTGTATTCTATACTATGTACACGGTGGGCCTCTACGTTCGATAAATTAACTGAGTCTGGGTTTGCAACAGGCTACCTACACTAGTGTATCCAGTCACTCCCTCGACGCATTTAATACCTTGGCGGTGACAGAAAGAGATTCAACCTCATTATTACGGAGGATGATTAACTTACACTCAGTGCTTTCATAAACACGCTTAAGGGCGTCTGAGCGGTAGTGTGGACCAACCAGCGCCCCAGAAACAAAGCTTCGAAAAAATAAAGCAGTGGCGTGGCTTAATTTTTAACCATCTCAGTTTTTAGGAAACAATGTCATAAGACTAAAAATACACGTTGATGAAACTTTTACAAATTGTTTCGTTACTCTGATATGTAGAACTAGATCGCAGCAACGCGGACTGGTAAGCTAGTCGGTATAAGCATTTTTTCACGGTGATCGGGAAGGAAATTTGTGTCTCTCATGTACTTTTTAAATCCCATTATATTCTCCTGATAATTTTTTTATGAAACAAATTGTAAATATGACCAGTGGGTCAGGAACTTAGCCATCCTAAAAATCGAACATACAGAAGCAGCTAAAATGAATCTCAAGAAACTTACTACTAATTTTTCTAAATCAAAAGCTTGAAGAAAAAAAAAACAGATCTAAATAAATCATATACAATTTTAAAGAATTGTGTTAGGTTGGTGGCGTCACAAGGTCAGGTGTGTGTTGCCGTGCTCGTTTACAAAAGGTATCGCCCCATTAGCATTTTATGTGAGGAGTCACCTCTCTTTCAATAATCTTTTATTATTTTAGCTTGATGCAACATAGTTTTGACAGTAAAGTTTACAATGTTATGTCATGGAGTCACGCTTAAATGTTGTCATCAGCCCCCCACTTTGTGACGTAACTGTGTTTGGTTACTTTAAAAAAAATAACTTTAAGGCTATAACATTTTTACAAATCTAGGGGGTAGTTGGACTACATAATAATATAGTATACATGCACAATCAGGACGTATAAAAGACCAAATGTACAGAATATTTATCTATATACTACTAAACTCATGTTTGTTTACATGTTTGTATATTTATTTGTTTTGTTCATTGTTTTTGTGTCTGTTTGTTTACAGGAGAGAATCTGCACTATACGTAGATTTGTAAAATAGTGTTTAGGTAGAGAACAACCCTAGATCTACAATCTAGGTCAAACCAAAATTAATAAGTTAAAAATAAAAACCATTTTAAAATCACAATAAATCTTTGAGTTTTTTTTATTAAACTATGTTAGTCCTTAAATATATTTCTTAGCTTGAATGATCATCTTCTTCGAGAATTCATGAGATTTACCTATCTAGGTTCTAGATCTTGAGCTACAGCAAAAACTATAACGTAAATTCTACATCTAGAACCTAGATCTAGAATCTATAATATTTCAGGCCTTAATTATTTTATATAAATCTTTGTTGTTTTTTTTTCAATGGAATTGGCCAATTTGGGATAATATTTAATTTGAAATAATACTATGGCCTGTTCGCGTAAATGAAGTTTCCTAAGCAGACTAAAAGTAAAATATATAAGTAAATACGTCCATGATCATATGCGCCTAGATAGCTAAGGAATTCGTGTATTAGAGTTACCATCCGGGTTGCACGGGTTTGAGTCTCATCATGTTAACGTTAATTTTTTGTCAATTTCTTTTTAGATGTGAATGATAAAGTTGCCTATCGGAACTTGGCTGGATGCAGGGCAGGTGAAGTAGAGTTTCTGTATCCTCAGCCTATGAAGGGATAGTGTGGTCAGAGCCATGCTTGGCCGGAATCTTTTTTTTTTTAAACTTTAAAAACATGTTTGAGACAAAGAGGGACACTGGACATGTGAAGTAGAGTTGGGTAGGTGTAGAGTTCGCCTGTGACATCAGCATTTGAATGGATTGTGTGGTCAGAACCATGCTCAGCCGAAATCGGTGTTTTTAAAATACAAAAACGTCTGAGGTGTGTCGTCTTTTTAATGTGAGGTCTGGTTATTTTGTGATAATACGTGACAGATGTGATGTCATTTACGGATGACCCCCGAAACCCACAGTTATCTAACAATAACGGGTTGTCTAGTATTATTTAAAACCCTTTATCGTAGGTGGCAGTTGATTTTTTTTTTGTTTCAATGGCTTACAAAGGGGCCCGCTAAGAATTTTTGCATTGGGGTCCGAAAATCCTAGCTACTCCACTGTTCCACCTCCGTAATCTCATGCGTAATTGCAAGTGTATGATAAGTCGATTTCTTCTGATCCAATGTAATAATACTTCCAATACCTGCGCCCCTTCAATTCACCAAAAATATTACATTACCGTTTCTTCAAATAGTTAGGCTATTTATTAGTTATCTGTACTTCATTAAATCAAGAGCAGAACATCGTTACTGTAATTAACAGTTCCTTAATACTTTAAATACCCGTTTTCTAATATTAATTACCTTTTCTACGATACTTTTAATCCATGTACACCAATCTATAATAATAGTTTCGCTGTCTGTGTATCTATCTATCTGACAAGAACGCTCTGGAACGCTCTAGAGAAAACATAAGCAAAAAAAGAACGCTCTAGAGAAAACATAAGCAAAAATTCTGACAAGAACGCTCTAGAGAAAACATAAGGAATTTAAAAACATGCACAGTAATTCGAAAAACGAAATATGACGTCGACACATTTAGCGTAGAGTAGAACATAATCTCAAACCAGAGAGTGCACACAGTAATGTAATGACGTCATTGATTATCGCGTAAACATTGAAAAAAAGGAAATGTTGTCTAATCTAAATGGTTTGCGTGAAGAGTTTCTTGCATACAATTCTTCGGGTAGGGGCGAAGCCCCACCCCACGCGTAAGAACGTCTGAGCCCCCCCCCCCCCCCTCCCCAACTCAAAAGAAATTTCTTCATCGATACTCTATAATAAAATTACCGCCTAATTAATGTGTCTAATCTAAAAAAGTGGTTTTCTTGCAATTTCTTTAATGCAATTCTTCGGGTAGTGGCTAAGCGCGACACCAGTGTTTCTTTCAGACTTTTTCCTCCCCGGAGAGGGATGGGGGTAATTGAAATTTTCGGGGGCTGGGGTAGAATTTTCGGGAAGGGGGGCGGACACTGGAAAAAGTATATAATTATATTTCGTTGAATGGGACGGTAGACATGATTTTTTTTGGGAGTGGGGGGTGGGGGGGTAGGGGTGGGGGGTGGTGTTGTGTGGGGGGGTGGGGTGGGGTGGGGGGTTCCTCATCGATACTCTATAATAAAATTACCGCCTAATTAATGTGTCTAATCTAAAAAGTGGTTTTTCTTGCAATGTCTTTAATGCAATTCTTCGGGTAGTGGCTAAGCGCGACACCAGTGTTTCTTCAGACCTTTTCCTCCCCGGAGAGGGGTGGGGGGTACTTGAAATTTTCGGGGGCGGGGGTAGAATTTTCGGGGGAGGGGGCGGACACTGGGAAAAAGTATATAATTATATTTCGTTTGAATGGGACGGTAGACATGTTTTAAGGGGGGGGGGGGGTGTGGGGGGGGGGGTGGTGTGTGTGTGGGAGGGGGGGTGGTTTTAGTTTAGACTTTTTCCTCCCCGGAGAGGGGTGGGGGGTACTTGAAATTTTCGGTGGCGGGGGTAGAATTTTCGGGGAGGGGGCGGACACTGGAAAAAGTATATAATTAAATTTCGTTGAATGGGACGGTAGACATGTTTTTTTAGGGGGGGGGGGGGGGGTGGGGGGTGGGGGGTGGTGTGTGTGTGGGGGGGTGGGGGGGTGGTGTGTGTGGGGGGGGGGTGGGGTGGTTTTAGTTTAGACTTTTTCCTCCCCGGAGAGGGGGTGGGGGTACTTGAAATTTTCGGTGGCGGGGGTAGAATTTTCGGGGAGGGGGCGGACACTGGAAAAAGTATATAATTATATTTCGTTTGAATGGGACGGTAGACATGTTTTTTTAGGGGGGGTGGGGGTGGGGGGTGGGGGGTGGTGTGTGTGGGGGGGGTGGGGGGGGGTGGTGTGTGGGGGGGGGGTGGGGTGGTTTTAGTTTTAGACTTTTTCCTCCCCGGAGAGGGGTGGGGGTACTTGAAATTTTCGGTGGCGGGGGGTAGAATTTTCGGGGAGGGGGCGGACACTGGAAAAAGTATATAATTATATTTCGTTGAATGGGACGGTAGACATGTTTTTTTTAGGGGGGGGGGGTGGGGGGGTGGGGGGATGGTGTGTGTGTGGGGGGGTGGGGGGGTGGTGTGTGTGTGGGGGGGGGGTGGGGGTGGTTTTAGTTTAGACTTTTTCCTCCCCGGAGAGGGGTGGGGGTACTTGAAATTTTCGGTGGCGGGGGGTAGAATTTTCGGGGGAGGGGGCGGCACTGGAAAAAGTATATAAGTATATTTCGTTGAATGGGACGGTAGACATGTTTTTTTAGGGGAGGGGGGTGGGGGGTGGGGGGGGTGTGTTTGGGGGGGGTGGGGATGGTGGTGTGTGTGTGGGGGGGGGGGTGGGGTGGTTTTAGTTTAGAGAAACCGAGACAGCACCATCAGCCTAGCGCCCGTTGTATCCTTCCTCAACGGGCCATTTTTCTAGTCTATAATAATAGTTTCGCTGTCTGTCAGAACGCTCTGTCTGACAAGAACGCTCTAGAGAAAACACAAGCAAAATAAAAACATGCACAGTAATTCGAAAAACGAAATATGACGTCGACACATTTAGCGTAGAGTAGAACATAATCTCAAACCAGAGAGTGCACACAGTAATATGACGTCATTGATTATCGCGTAAACATTGAAAAAAAGGAAATGTTGTCTAATCTAAATGGTTTTGCGTGAAGAGTTTCTTGCATACAATTCTT